GGATTACACTTACGTTTCCGCGGCGAGATGTTACGTATACGCAAAACGTCCGTTACGGAGGATGGTCGCTTTACAGAGAGTGGATACTCTCGATCGTTTGCTTAGTGGATATACTGTTATCATCTTACGTAATGTGTTCGCGCTAACGTAATGTCAATCTCGTTAAACCCGCAACAACTAGTTTCATACCATTGAAAATGTCGACCAATGCGTCTTCATTGACGGACATGACGAAAAGAGGGAATCAAGACGTGCTGTATATTCATGTATAAATATTATTCTTTATTATGATTGGTCATTTTTGTGCAATCAAGGAGTGGGCGTGCAAAAATGGCTCCAAAACGGCAACCCCTAGGGACAAGTAGAGTTTGATAATAGATGTATAATGTACTTAAAAGGCCCACGTGCATCCAAAATCCTTTGCGCAACTTCTTCAATCTTTGCCGGATTTTAAACCAATCAGAAAGCACCTTTCAATATAGGAGATAATTTGTAAAACAAAAGAAACGATCGCAAAGGATCTTTGGTGCATTTGGGCCTTGCTTAAGATGATATTCACACACCAGAAAGCACAAAAAATGAAGTTTATAAAGCGTTTATTCGAAAATAATATAAGCCTTTATTTCTAAAATACACAGTATTTGATATTAAAAGTCAGTCCATGGAAATGCAGATTCCAGTACCCAAGAGGGCAAAGACTATTTCTATTTTCGTTTTGCAGGTGAAGGATAACCAATTTACACTGGAAAAAATCGCGCGCTTTAAAGGTTGTAAATTTGATGTAAATATGATGTTAGTGTCCAAAATTCTGTAAATTTAATGGAATTCATTTATATCAAATTTACAGAATTTTGGTCACTTACATCATATTTACATCAAATTTACAACCTTTAAAGCGCGCGATTTTTTCCAGTGTTAGTAGTCTGTTTCACAGTCCGATGGAAGTCATTTTAAGAGTCTCAGTACTGGAGGACGTCAGCACCCCACGCTTCTCAAAGGATCACGGGTCCATCCTTTTTGGCTACGTGTCTTTACCTGATGAATAACAATTAATATAATATCAGATTTTGTGAAAAGTTAGAGGGATTCAGTACAGGAAATATGAGAGGAAATATATACATATAACGAACAAGGTAATGAGATCCCACAAGGCATTACGACCCAATTCCTCCCCAGGCAATTCAATAGAAATTAAGTGGCGGATCCAGCTGTTGAAGTGGTGCACGTCCCCTCCTGAGGTCTTACCTAAAGCAAAGTATCATTTTTGTGGAAAGCAACCCTGAAGAAAATTCTGGATCCGCCCTTGCATTGTTGTTGGTAATTTTAAAATAGGATTTCTTTATACTGTTTAGACCACCAACATGGTATCGATTCAACACTAGTCCTACGTACTTTTTTCTATAGATCGATGGGTTACTGCATCAGTATTACCCTCCCACACCTCCCTGATGGCTGATCTCGATTTCCTATAAGCGATTTTAGTATCCACCAACCTATGTGCTATTTCAAATCTAGCATTCTGATTGGCTACTGAGCTATGGTATATTCATGATATACGATGGTCGCATCCAATGAATAAGAAATCGTCGGAAAAAAAATCGAGAAAAATTGTTCTTTATGGTCTTTTTTTCAAATTTGTCCTAAATTTTGGTGGATACTAAAACAATTAGTCCACTCGATCTCGTGGAGTAAGAGTTGATATGGTGGAAACTAGCGGTAAACTAGTAAAAGCTGTGTCGTTGTTTATGGCAGAGTATGGCCTCGTTGACTATCAACTCGTAGTAGACGGTCTACTCGACCACGTGGAGTAATTGTTATACAACTTTTCAGTAAAATCAGACGTTTTGATTGGTTGGCTTTCGTGTGTTATCAAAGTATAGATACACGGATTACGTCAAAACTAATTGTTTGTTGTATAAAACAGATAGATCTCATTTTTCCGTGCGTGTGTACTCTAATAGATACACAGATGACGTCAAAATGTAGTGAGAACAACAGTCACGCACTCGACTGCGTCTCGTGCGTACTTTTTTGTTCTCACTACATTTTGACGTCATCTGTGTATCTATTAGAGTACACACGCACGGAAAAATGAGATCTATCTGTTTTATACAACAAACAATTAGTTTTGACGTAATCCGTGTATCTATACTTTGATAACACACGAAAGCCAACCAATCAAAACGTCTGATTTTACTGAAAAGTTGTATAAA